TACTTAAATTAATGAAAGGGGTTTTGTGATATAGAGAGTAACATCACTAGCTAACATGCACATTTGCAGTTCGATATGATAAAAAAAGGATGACACCCCATCCCTGAGGGCCCCCCAACCCCGACCGGATGGTACGTTGGGAGGATATAAATTGGACTATAATCCCAATCTGACAGATAGAGAGTGTGACTTTGTCCCCGGTACTTGCAGAGGCCCTATGAATTTTTAGCATAGTAACTCCTCATCGCAGTTGACATGATTTGAACTCAGGACATAACCCTTGTAGCACTCGTTTGTTACCAGTTGAGTTACGCCCACCTATTGCAATCCGATTGCAGTTGGATATGATGAGAGAACCCGACGGGCGCTTAATTGGAATTGACAATGAATTGTAGTACTGGACGGTCTTGAAAATTCGGACCCAGTCCCATAATGTTCAGCTACTCAACAGAACATGCCATAACGAAGTGTCCGCCTCATTAAGAGGCGGTTTGGCGAGCTCGTTTTTTACGCGGTCGGTCAATTTTTCAATGTAATTTTTGATTTTGCGTGTTCAATTGTGTAATCATAAGAAAAAAAGTAAGGTTTTAGTTATTTTTCTGGCTGTATTAGCTAAAGTTACTGTAGAAGATTATGTTAAATATTTTTTCATATAATTTTTTCTATATTTTATTAATAACATATAATTTAAATATAGTTTTTTCTTGAATCAGCAGAATCACTCAATCAAGCCACTTAAATCAGAAATTCATAAATTTCACCAGAATCAGCAAATACAACCGATTTGGGTGTTACCAAACGGACTCTAATATTACATTATTACTCCCTTTCCATTGGACATTGTACAATACAATTTAAATGTGAAATAAATAAAATTAAAATTGTGTGAATGAGATTTAAACAGAAAATAAAGATCTAGCAAGATAACAAATCAATTATTTTAATGAAAAGAGATAAAAAATTTTAAAACATTAAAAAAAGGAAAGTTAACAAATCTGAAAGATAGGAGGTATTTACCCGCACGGGTAGCTCAGTTGATCGAGTGGTGGGAAAAATGAACCAAGTGATCAAGGTTCGAAACCCGCAGCGGTCGTGTGGAGGTTACAAAACCTTAAATAAGGTTGAACCTCTGGTGCGCACGTGTATAAGGCCTACCGCCGCTTTCCTGACTGAGTCACCGTGATTAACCTCTCAATCATCCTATCGGGTCGGGTTGAATTCCTGGGTGGGAGATTCCACCTTTTGGACCAAAGAGGTATTTAATGATGTTGGACTTTTGAGTGCACAATACTACCAATGATGAAAGGTAGGTTTGTGGAATTTAATAACTTGTCGGCATTAATGGGTTCTGGTCTCAAATAGACAAATAGCCATGAGCACTGTCCCTCGTACGGAGTTTACCTATGGAGTCGCGTTATACGGAGAATATGACTATAGAGTAGTGAGTTAGGGATTGTTTATTTTCCTTTTCGGTCCGTCGCAAATTTATCTCCCCTTTTCTTTTTTGATAAAGAATATGTGGTTCACAATCATTCTTACACATTTCTCACTCCTCTGCACAACTCTCCACCACACAAATCCCACTATCTTAATCTTCGTGCCCAGTCAAAATCGAAGTTAATTATGGGACGGATGGAGTATTTATTTATGACAAAATTGAAAGCATGATTTGTCATTTATTTTAAAAACTGATTTAATCATTAAACTGAAATATAATACCTTTTCCTATTAAGACGTTTTTTCTATTATTTTTTTTAAATCGATTATGAATTACGTTTATGTTAATAAATGGAATTTCTTATTGCCTTTACAACACAAGAATAAAACTTTAAAATAATGTAATATTAATTATTAATAAAATACAAAGAGATTTGTAATCTTAGTCCTGTAATTTTCGGTTGTAATCTTTACTGATTCTATAAGTTTAATCACTTGTAAACTTGGTCCTGTAACTAATAAATCTTTGAAATTTAAGAACTTTTCCACATGAAAGTACACTTTTCGGCAGAAAAATGCATGCGACGACGGCGACATATTTTCCGGTATACTATTGTCCGAAAGTGTAATTTCAGGAAAAAAGTCCTTAAGTCGCGAATGTTAATTAGTTACAAGATCAAATTTACAAGTGACTAAAGTTACGAGACTAATAATGAAAACGGTCAAAATTTGTGCAGGTGATTGAGGGAAAATATAGTGGTTGACAAAAGTGCCGGTGATTGATGCAAGAACTAATTATTACATATTTATGACAAAAATAAACATTACAAAAAAATTACGGGATTGACACATAATTTGGCACGGACTTACCGATTTTTCGTGCCAAATAGCTCGTACCAATATGTTTTTGGCACGGATTTGGCATTTCCCTACCAAAATCCCTGCCAAATCCCTGCCAAAATCCATGTCAATCTCGTGGTTTTTTTGTAGTGAAATACGGAGTATTATTACAAAAACCTGACTAGTGATAATATCAGTAACTTAATCATAATAATTTGTATTTAATTTTTATTCTTAAGTGATCATAGCACTATATTCAAGTAACTAGTAATCATTTTGTAAATAAGTTTTAGTAATACTTTTGAAAAAAAACTTGATGCAATAGTTACCAAGATTGAGATTTTATTTTATTAATGACTTTATACATTAATAACAATTATTCAATTTCTTTTTCAATAAGCATTCAAATGATACCATACAAAAAAAGCATTCAAATGAAATTAAAATAAAATTTTTGAACAAAGAAGCCTTCGAGATGCATGGTCATTAATATTCAACTACGCCGTGCCAACCAACGAAGTCTGAACTAGGTCATGGCCTGAGTTTAATACATTTAACCGCATTAAAAGGAAATTCAACACGTCAACAAAAGAAATCAATAATGTACTTCAAAAATTCAATATGTCAATGCAATAAATTGATAAGGTGAACTGTCTAACAACCCCTATTTTTTATTTACTAATCTTATGCATAACATTTTTATTAAATATGTGACTTTTGTTTTTAAAACACGGTGAGAATTAGTTTTCTAGACTGATAGGATTGGAGATGGCTTAGGAAAAAACCCACCTCTACTTGTTAAGAGAACTATTTTAATCATTTTTCATTTAAATAAATATTTATTTTTAATAAATGTATTTAGATATTTTTCACAATTAATCAAATTCCTTCAATTCAATCATTTCGGTCATAATTTAATTAATTTTTGCCAATTCCACAAATTTGAATGTTGTTAGGCACCGTTCTTTTCCATTTCTATTTAGATTTACTAGTAATTCATACTCACTCTGTCCACTAAGATTGTTCTATTTTTCCATTTTGGAAAATCCTACTAGTATTGTCTCATACGAAATTTAGTTAAATTTGTGTAACTCTAAATCATTTTTACGTTATTCTTACTTAACGAATTCAATATCAAATACATAAATTCACTTTTCTTAATAACCTTGTCATATCTTTTTGTCCCAATTTAATACTATTGTATTTGCGTTGTACGGTAGTGTAACAAAAGCAATTGCATATACATTATATTTAGTATTTACAATCACAAAGTTAAATGGACAAATCACAACAGGTTCACTAGACAACTAAGATCAATGTAAAATATAAGATATTTCACATAAATATATGTGCTTAGGTAAACTCTTTGTTGTATTAATTAATAAGATCATTCATCAATTGACTTAGGCCATCTTCAACAAGCACCATCTTCAACACCAAAATGGTGTATTTGGCAAAAAAATGCTCCAACAATAACACCAAACTTGACACCATTACACCAAAATGGGGGAGGGGGGGAATGGTTTGCGCTATATATGGCGTACGCCATTTCTTGCACCATCCTCTTTTTGTATTTTTTTTCTTTCAAATGTGACCCAAAGTTTTGGTTATTATAGTTTTGACCCATTTTTAAAACAACAAATTAGGAAGTTTTACTTGGACTGCAATTTGTTGGTCCGGTCTAATTTGGTCTGGTCTGGTCTCAATTGATGTGACCTGGTCTGATTTCTTTGTATTTTTATAACTACCCAAGTATGGTCTAATCCGGTCTGATCTGATCGGAAACAAATTACAGTCCAAGTAAAAACATCATTATACAACAACAATCAAAACAATTAATTTGATAAAAAAAAATTAATAACTTTTAAATCACACAATATTATAAATAAAGATTCAAATCCAAACAACATAATAACAGAAAAAATGGTACTTAAGAAAATAACATAATTAAAATTACAATTAATAACACCATTATAATAAAAATTAAAACATCATAACAAACACACATAGTACATACTAATTTTAGCTTGTATTTGTGAAATATTGATTATTGTGTTTTAATTAGTGAAATGCGTGAAAATACATATTAAAATGATGTATTTTAGTTTGTATGTGTGAAATAATGTGTGAAATGTCAAAATATTAAATGAGGGGCTAATGTATAAATATAAGATAGTTAGATACTTAAATAGAAGAATGGCAAAAAGTTAGTAAAAAGAATAAAAAGAGAATATTCCTTTTTGGTGATGAAAATGGTGTAAACTGTTGGAGATAAAATACTGTTTGATGTGATGTTTACACCTTTTTAGTATAAAAAATGGTGTTAACTGTTGGAGATGGCCTTAGAGCTTCTCCAACAGACCACCAAATCACACACCAAAATGGTGTATTTGCCAAAAACTTGCTCCAATAGCTACACCATTCTTCACACCATCTCACCAAAATGGGGGAGGGAGTTTGGGTTTACGCCATATATATATGGCGCACACCATCCCCTACGCCATCTTTTTTTTTTAATTTTTTTTATTTCAAATGTGACCCAAACTTTTAGTTGTTATACTTTTGACCCATTTTTAGAACAACAAATTAGGATGTTTTTACTTGGACTGTAATTTGCTGGTCCGATCTGGTCCGGTATGATTTGATCTGGTCTGAACTGATGTGGTCAGGTCTGATTTCTTTGTATTTTTATAACTACTCAAGTTTAGTCGAATCCAGTCTGATCTGTTCTGGGACAAATCGCAATCCAAGTAAAAACCTCCGTATAGAACAAGTAATTAAAATTATTAATTTCATAAAAAATTAAAAATATAATAAAATTTAAATCACACAATATTATAAATAGAGTTTCAAATCCAAACAACATAATAATAGAATACAAACGATACTTAAGAAAATTACATAATTAAAATTGCAATTAATAACACCATTATAATTAAAATTAAAACATAATTAAAAACATACATAGTACATACTAAGTTAGAAATTAGTAGTCATTCAACATGCTTCCAAACCCTTCAAGACCATCAAATAGATTCCCAAATGCAGCTGATGATCCCCTTTCTTGAGATTTTTTTTGTAAAATTTTTTATCTTTCTGCAATGATATACGCTCGCGTTTGTGGATCGTGAATAGAATCCAAGTCCATGAACATAATTTTATCTTCTCTTTTATGTTCTTTGTATGCCATATTTTGTCGCTGAATTTGCAATTGTTCTTGTCGATCTAATGACGATTTCTTCAAAATCTCTATAAGTTGCTCATTGTCGCTCTTAACTGACTTAAGCAAAACAGTAGTGTCCTCATCATTTTTCTTCTTCAATTTGGCCTTTTTTACCCCTATTGGTTGTTTTGAAAAATCTGACCCGGAATCAGTATCAACTTCTTTATTGAAAGAAGATGACAATTCAGGTGATGAGGAAATTGGAGATCGTGGATGAGAGTCGGATTGGGAAGAGTCGTAATCAACTTGCCTTTTTTGGAGCACCATGTCTTGCAGTTGACACATTATCTTTAAATTTTTCAAATTTTTTAATCATATCCCAAACATGGTCAAATTTAACAACCTTTAGAATATTTTGGATCTTGCATAAATAAAACTTTAGCACGATCCAACTGCAATTCATAAAAATAAATTTATATTACATAAAAGTAAATATATTATTGAAAATTAAAAATATATTATACTTACAATATCTTTTTCGGAAGCACCACTTGGATTTAAATTCTCACTTGCTTCACACACCCATTTAGCTTCCGTGCATGAGTACTTATTGTATTCATTCTTGAATGCAATGAACGTGTATTACGTTGCTCGTGATTTTGTTGACGATGTTCATTGTACTTAGCCTCAACTCTTGACCAAAAATCATTTGCAGATTGATATCTGCTGAGGATTGGGTCTTGATTTATGTCTAAATACACTTGACACAACAATGCGTCTTCGGCTATGGTGTAACCACTTGATCTTGAAGTCATTTTGCTCGTGAAAGAAAAAGATAGAATATAGATTGCGAGATAGAGGTTTTGATGAAGTGTGATAATTCAGGGCATCGATATTTATAGAATGTAGAGGTTGATATGATTTCCTTTTCTTCACAACCATCGAATTCTTTCCTTTTGAGATAAGCGTACCTGTCACGCATTAATTAAAATGTCATACACAAGTTGGTAGGGAATCTTTATGTTAGCCGTTGGATGGATTTCCTTTGTTTCACAACCATCAGATTCTTATCTTTTGAGATAAGCGTACCTGTCACGCATTACTTACAATGTCAGACACAAGTTGATAGGAAATCTTTATGTTAGCCGTTGGATGGATTTCCTATTCTTCACAACCATCAGATTCTTATCTTTTGAGATAAGCGTACCTGTCACGCATTACTTACAATGTTAGACACAAGTTGGTAGGAAATATTGGAGCGTCCTCTTACATATCATCGTCTTCTTCTTCAGATGATGATGATGCTTTAGCGATGAACACTATAGGCCAACTTGATGAAGAAGAAGAAATCATGATGGTGGCACTAAAAAACAACAACATGACAACAAGTCATTGTATTGGTGAGCTGAATACGCCTATTAGGCATGGTGGATCTGTTCATGGTCATGTGGTGATAGACCGTGATCGAGAAATGGGAGACCATAATTTGTTCATGGACTATTTCTCTCCAAATCCACACTATGGAGAAGCATTATTTTGTCGACGATACCGTATGTCACGAGATCTATTCCTACAAATAGTTGGTGTTGTTACAAATCATGACAACTATTTCCACCAACGAAGAAATGCAACAGGTAGACTCGGATTACCAACGCTACCAAAAAATGATTTTATTGGCATCATTTTTATGGCTTTAATACTAAAAACAAAACATATTAACTATTTACATAAATTAATTTGAGCAAATAGACTCCTTTTTTTCATTATTTACATTTGATAGTATATGAAGTTACATCTTTTGATTCGCGAGTTACATCGTTTTTATACGTGAGTTACATTTATATTTGCTTTAACGAGTTACATTTTGTATACATCTCAGTTAGATTTTTCATCAACATGAGTTACACTTTGTATAACACGAGTTACATCGCAACATAAAGTCATGCTATTGAAACAAAAGAATCATTTTTTTTGCAAAAAAAATATATTTTTGGTAAAGAAATGATTTATTTGGCAAAAAAAGTGATTTAAAAAAAACATTTTTATGACCATAATATCAAGAATAGAACACATTCACTATTTAAGGAAGCCACTTGCTATTGAAACAAAAAATCACTTTTTTTGCAGCAAAAATATGGCGAAAAAATGATTTTTTGGCAAAAAATTGATTTAAAAAAAACGAATTATGGCCTTAATATTAAAAAACATATTCACTGTTTAGGTAAAGTAATTGAGCAATTAGACTCCTTGTTTTGATTGAAATCAATGTTTTTTCTTATAATCCGTATTAGACAAGTTACATTTCCACTTGTGTGTAGTTATAGTTCTTATCAACGTGAGTTACATTTCTTTACACGCGAGTTACATCATTCTTTTACTGCAGAATATAAAAAACAAAAAAAAAGGTAACTGTTCACCTGCATGAACAGTAACACGCGTTTTTGCTTGTGGGAGCATTTATGGTAGGAGATGGTAATCTGTTAATGATATAGGCAGCAGTAAAAATGGCATCAACCCAATATTAACTCAGAACAAAGGCTTCAAGTAGCATAGTTCGGAGTTAACTCAAGTAGATGACGATGCTTGTGCTCAGCAACCCCATTTTGTTGGGGTGTGTCAAGGCAAGATTTTCGAAAATAAATAGCATTAGCCGAGAAAAATTGCTGCATATTATGATTAACAAATTCACCTCCCCCGTCACTTTGAAAAATTTTAATTTTCTGATTAAAAAGATTTTCAACCAAAGCTTTAAAATTTTTAAAGTGCATAAAAACCTCATCGCTGTTTGTCCCCACATCACGAACGGCCCCTTGGCCTTGGCATGATTATATATCTCAAGACCGGCTTCCCCAACACCGAGCATCTTGACCTAGCGATTGGGCTTGCCATCCCTCCTGGATGGTGACCATCGCCTTTATATGACGATCGGTTTCATTATCGCCTCATCATCATTTATGAACCGGCTCCTCAACGCCGTTGTCCTCATACCACGATCGGGCCCTCGGCTTCAGCGTGATGATCTATCTCAAGACGGCCCCTCAGTGTTGAAGTCTCGAGCTTACGACTGGGCTCGCCATTCCCTTCCTGGATCGCGACCGTCGCCTTCATATGACGCACGACTCATCACCACCATCGTCCTCATATTCAGACAGGCTTCCACCGCCTCGTCCTCATATTCAGACAGGCATCCACCGCCTCATCCTCATGATCAGACAGGCGTCCATCGCCTCATCCTCAGATTCGGACCGGCACATCAGCGCCGTCGTCCTCACCAGCAGACGGGCGTCCCCTCAAGTCTCTTTCTTCAAGCACACACACTTCTTCAGTGTCCACCTTATCAGAATCTGAAGCCAAACTTCTCAAGTTAACTTCAGAATACACGCAATCATTCTCTTTGCAATCTTGCACTCCCCGGCCTACAAACTCATTGTTGTTGTTCAGAGCACTTGTGGCAGTATCTTTGTCTTTGTCTTCCACCCCCATAGAATACATGTTGTCTTCAAATGTGTTTGCATTTGTAGTAGATCATGAAGTGTTGCTCATGCTACTGTTGTCATCATCTTTCTCTTGTACCTCATCTTGTTGTTGCGCCTCATCACCTATAAAAGAAGACACCTCCACCCCGTAGTCCCACTGATCCTCCATCACATGGTCAACAAACAGTTCCACCTCCATATTTTCTGGAAGCTCGTAACATATGTTGAAAAGGTCTTCATCTGTCAAAATTATGTCTTGAACTTTTTCTGAAAATATTATGTCATGGACTTAATTACCATTTTTGTTTTATGTCATCGACTTAGGAATTATGAATATGTAGTAATGGAATTTGCTACTTGAATATTATACTCCCTCCGTTTCAAAATGAACTTCACAGTCACTATTCACATGATCAACTTAAATTACTCTTAATCTTATGTTTTATATATCAAATTTTTATCAAATTTATATTTTTTTATCAGCCTTTGTAGCGGTTTTAATGTAATTTCTCAATATGTAAATTTTATTTACTAAAAGTAATCAGAGTATAATCAGGGATCGAGTTGCTTTATCATCGGTCAAGTATCGTAATCCGAAATGGAAAGTTCATTTTGGGACGGAGGTAGTATATTTTTATTTCTTTTTACTATAGAGTATGTTATTCGGTGAAGTATATATTTACATGTTCAAAATAATACTCCTACTTTTTGTCCGAATTTTGTACCAGATATCATATATATATACTCCTTCCGTCCCTTAAAACTTTGCCATCTTTCCTTTTTGGGACGTCCCAAAAAACTTTGCCACTTTCCCTTTTAATCAATTATTTTGTGGTTTCTATTTTTTCTCTCTCCTCTGCACAAATCTCAACCACACAGTTTTTACTTTATTATTCTCCGTGCCGGTCAACTTTGGCAAATGATGGAGTATATGGCCCGGGAACACCCGGCCCACAGACTCCTACTACTCCAGTGAAGGCCCAACAGGCCCAGAAGGCCCAACAGGCCCAAATCACGGCGCCCAGAGTACCAAGCAGCCCGCAATACGCACCAGGGGTGCCTTCGCCCCCCTGGCCGAAGGCTCCAAACTATCACAGCGTGGATATTTCGAACAAACAGAGGAACTGGGAGAAAACGGCGAAAACAGTAGCCCTCAGCACCTGGAGCCCTCGGCACTCAGGGGTCCTCGGCACTAAGAGTCCTCGGCTAGTCCTCTACAGCCGAGGGCACCTCTCCCGACATGATATCCGCCTCACATGCGTACAGATCACCGTACCCTGTACAGACGTCCCATCCAACAGCCGCATTAAATGCGACCACATGCGGCTGCCAACGCCAACCAGTTGAGGTGACCTTTCGGCCAATGGGCGCTTGACACGTGTCCCTGTCCGGCATTTATTGCTACTATAAATAGCACCCCATTTCCCCATTTGTAACCACGCTGAAAACGCTCCACACTTATAATATACTTTCTCTCTCTACATTTACCTGCTCTGACTTCTCTCTTGTTACTCCCCGCAATAACCCCTCGGATAAGCTACCCCCCGGGTACACTATCCATCATTTGGTGCTCTCGTTGAGAGGTCGAACAATCGAGTAAGAAACCCTCCCCCTTCGCCAAACACTAGCCCTCTACCAAAATGGTGAGAACTACACGTGCCAACTCCAAAAACGTGGAAGACAAGAACCTGGCCCTCGGCGACGTCAACGCCCCCGAAGCCTCTCACAGGGCTCCCGAGGGCGGTGTCATCGCTAGGCTGGAACAGGCGGCTGTCGACCTACGCCTTCAGATCCAACAGAATGCCCCCGATGCCCGCCTCGGCATCGAGGCCAAGAAGAAAAACCGGAGCGACGACCAAGTCAGCCCTCCGGTTCTCACCATCGACGTTCAATCGGCGCTCTCCGCCTTCATCCAGACGCTCACTCAGAACCCAGGTGCCTTCAGCACCCTGGCTCCGGCTCAACCCCAGGTTGGGGAGAACATCGTACTTCCCCCTCTGCCACACCCCTTCGGAAACCCCATCCCTCGGGTAAGGAATGACGAAGGGGTAGTGGCCCAAGATACGACCTCCCAGGAAGTTCAGTCCCGGGACCGCCACAATGACAACAGAGAAAGGCCCCGCACTTCCGCCCTCAACCGGCTCGGAGGAGGGCAGGACCGCCGAGGGGTCCAAGACCGCCTCGGAGGGAAAGCACTCCAAAGGCCCCAGGAGAGCGGAGGGTCTGTCTCGAGGGCAGACGAGGAGCGTCCCCCTCGGGACAAAGGCAAGGCACCCCTTCATGCCGACGATGCTCGCCACCAAATCAATCAGGCCCATTCGGCCCGGGTTCGTTCGCAGGGGGCGGAGACCCTCCCGAAGGATCCCCGGGACGAAAT